CCAAATCCCACAGCAGAGATGCTGGGCTTGTGGGTGAGGTGCATCCCCACGAGAAAGGATCCTCCAGGCCCTCGTTGGCTTAGCTCTGGATTGTGCAAAGGGTTGCAGACCTGGGACTTTCTGCGCACACACACAGCCTGTGCTCTGCCACTGAACTACGGCCCCTCTCAAAGTCTTTTTTAAAAAACAAACACCCCTCTTTTCTGTTGCCCTGGGAAAGAGGGCCCAGTGCTTTTCAGGTGGCACTAGAAGACTCCAGGACAAGGTCCCTTCAGCCGTGGAGGTGGAAGCGGGTTTGCTGTCACACACAGCCCTTCCTTAGCGGCTGCCTCTTCCAGGGAAGGAGGCAGGTGGTTCTGAGATCTGCCACCACTTTTGCAGCAGCTGCACAGCTAGGGGTGTTTCTTTCTCTCTCTCTCTCTCTCTCTCTCTTAACTATTTAAAGGAAGAAATAAAATGTGATAGCCTAGATGGTGAATAAATAAATACCTCAGATGTTTCCTTCCAGCAAGTGTCTGTATATGTTGTTGGTGGGTTTTTTTTTTCTATCTTACATGTTATCTGAATGTTTATATTCCAATAAACTTCTACCTCTTCATACAACGGCTATGCACTTCTTCCTCTTTGTGCCATTTTTTGTTTGTTTCCCCCCACTGCTGCTTCCCCTTTTGTAGCTCCCTGGAAAAGCCAAACAGGGGCTCTTCCATTCCAACACTTTGGCAGAATCCTGTTGTGGAAAAGGATTTAAAAGCCCTTCCAGGAAACGGACATTGTTCTTGTTGTTATTTAAGTTTATGTACTGCCCTTCATCAGGAGACCACAGGGCAGTTTACAACACAGAACCTAAAATACATAACATAATATCAAACAAAACAAAACAAAACACACACACACACACACACACACACACACACACAGTTTAAAAGGCCATAAATTGTTTTATTAGCCCAAGGCCTGCCTGAAGAGGGAAGCTTTTGCCTGGCACCTAAAGATATGTAATGGAGGTGCTAGGCGAGCCTCCCTGAGGAGAGCATCCCACAAGTGGGGAGCCACCACAGAAAAGGCCTGTTCTCATGTTGCCATCCTCCAGACCTCTTATGGAGTGGGCACACAAAGGAAGGCCTCAGAGGATTATCTTGGGTAGGTTCATATGGAGAGAGGTGGTCATTGAGGTATTGTGGTCCCGAGCTGTTTAAGGCTTTATAGGTCAAAAGCAGCACTTTGAATTGGGCCCAGAAACTAACTGGCAGCCAGTGTAGTTGGGCCAAGATTGGCGTTCTCTGCATGGCTGATGGTTGGCATGGTGGCAACATCTAGAAAGCCCACAGGTTCCCTTTCCCTGGCTTGCTTTGACAGCTGGGTCTTGGACAGAAATGAGTCCCCTTCTCTGCTCCCAGGCACTGAACATCCTGCTTTCGTCTTTGTGAAGCTCAAGGTGCCATAGAGGCCTCCCATCCAGGGAGCGATGGCCAGAACTGCCACCTCTTGATTTGCTCTTATTGCATTTGCATTCTGCTCTCTTAAGAAGAGAGTGGGGGGGGGCTTTGACATGTTGTTGGACCCCAGCCAACATAGCCAGTGGCAGTGAGTATGGGAGTTGGAGCCAAGCATCGTCTGGATCAGGGGTCAGCAAACTTTTCAGCCGTGGGCCGGTCCACTGTCCCTCAGACCATGTGGTGGGCCGGACTATATTTTTTTTGGGGGGGGGGGAATGAACGAATTCCTATGCCCCACAAATAACCCAGAGATGCATTTTAAATAAAAGGACACATTCTACTCATGTAAAAACACCAGGCAGGCCCCACAAATAACCCAGAAAGGCATTTAAATAAAAGGACACATTCTACTCCTGTAAAAACATGCTGATTCCCGGACTGTCCACGGGCTGCGTTTAGAAGGCGATTGGGCCGGATCCAGCCCCCGGGCCTTAGTTTGCCTGCCCATGGTCTGGACGGACACATGCTCCCTAGCCCTGCGCCTGGGAAATTTAGAAATGTAGGTGGTGCCCAGTGTTCCCCCTTCCCGTCCATTTTCTCTTCACATTTTCTCTATGAGGTAGACTAAGCAGAGAGCTATCTCTACCAAAAATTGTTGACCTATAAATACTTCTTATGAGCTGACAACTTTTAAGGTCAGTAAATAAAAATACTGGGGGAAAGAGAGCACCTTGAATTACCACATCTGATATATCCTTTGTGATTGGTGAGCTGAAATCTGTCAGAAGGCCCAGATATTTCATAGAAATCACCCAGACTTCCTTTATAGCAGGCATGTACAAAGTCTGTTTTGGGGTGTAATGCCGTGGCCCCTGCGGCAGTTTATTTCCTGGGGTAAAATCCTAAAAAAACCTCAACAACTTCGGTTGGCCCCTCACAGCCCTTCACTTCATCAAATTCATCCTCATTGTACTAAAAAAACAGACTAGGGCTGACTGGTACCAGGTTTTCAGTATTGTGCTATATCAGCAGTTAAACTGTGGTATTCCAATACAGTGGTACCTCGGGTTAAGTACTTAATTTGTTCCGGAGGTCCGTTCTTAACCTGAAACTGTTCTTAACCTGAAGCACCACTTTAGCTAATGGGTCCTCCTGCTGCCACCGTGCCGCCGGAGCCCGATTTCTGTTCTCATCCTGAAGCAAAGTTCTTAACCCGAGGTACTATTTCTGGGTTAGCGGAGTCTGTAACCTGAAGCATATGTAACTTGAAGCGTCTGTAACCTGAGGTACCACTGTATATTACAATGTCAAATTGGAGATCAGGTGTGGGGATGATCGGGTGGGTGGGAAGAGGAGAAGCAGCGTAGTCACCTCCACCACATGGGGATGTGGGTGCATCAAGCTGTGTCTACTGTGGCAGAGGCTGTTTTCCTGCTGGCTGAGAAAAGCTGTTCCGCCTCAGTGCCAGGGGAAGGCAGTGCCAAGGTGCCTTGAAGTGATGGCAACCAGCTGCCCTGTGAGGGAAGGCAGATCAGATCAGCAGTGTTATTGGCTGAGATCATTTTGTGATATTGGTGATGCCAATATCAGAGGAGCGATATGTTGCTGCTTACTGGCGGGGCAAAATTATTACTGCAGTGGCGGGGCAAAATTATTACTGCAGTGGGATTTCATAACAGAGTTTGGCCAATGTATAATAATAATAATAATAATAATAATTTATTATTTGTACCCCGCCCATCTGGCTGGGTTTCCCCAGCCACTCTGGGCGGCTTCCATAGAAACCAAAAAACACTAAAATATCATACATTAAAAACTTCCCTGAACAGGGCTGCCTTAAGATGTCTTCTGAATGTCAGGTAGTTGTTTATCGTTTTGACATCTGATGGGAGGGCGTTCCACAGGGCGGGCGCCACTACCGAGAAGGCCCTCTGCCTGGTTCCCTGTAGCTTTGCTTCTCGCAATGAGAGAACCGCCAGAAGGCCCTCGGCGCTGGACCTCAGTGTCCGGGCAGGTCGATGGGGGTGGAGACGCTCATTCAGGTATACTGGGCCGAGGCCGTTTAGGGCTTTAAAGGTCAACACCAGCACTTTGAATTGTGCTCGGAAACGTACTGGGAGCCAATGTAGGTCTTTCAATGTAGGTCTCGGGGCCGCCCCCAGTCACCGGTCTAGCTGCCGCATTCTGGATTAGCTGTAGTTTCCGAGTCACCTTCAAAGGTAGCCCCAAGTAGAGCGCATTGCAGTAGTCCAAGCGGGAGATAACTAGTACTAAAACAGGCCATAAAATCTGTGATATTACCATGCAAAAATGACAAAAAAATATTAGTTGGGGAGAGGCAAGGGATGGATTCATAGACCTCCCAGGGGTCCCTGGACCCCTAACTGGGAACTACTGCTCTAGAGGGTTGTGCTTCTCTCTCTTAGGCCAGGGGTCACCAAACTTTTTCAGCAGGGGGCCGGTCCACTTTCCTTCAGACCATGTGGGGGGCCGGACTACATTTTTTTTTTGGGGGGGGGGATGAACAAATTCCTATGCCCCACAAATAACCCAGAGATGCATTTTAAATAAAAGGACACATTCTACTTATGTAAAAACATACTGATTCCCAGGCCGTCCGCGGGCCGGATTTAGAAGGCGATTGGGCCTGATCCGGCCCCCGAGCCTTAGGCTTTATTGCCTGCTGATGTTTTGGTTGCATTTCTGTAAATAGATGAGCACAGTTACAAAGAAAAAAAAAGTGTCAATAAGGAAACACAGATATGAGTCCCTGCGGTGCTGTGGTTAAGAGGCTTGTAGGAGGATGTGGAAGGCTTGATTCAGAAACCCCACATGGCTGCACAGCTCTTGATGAGTGACCTTGAACCAGTGACCCAGGGCTCTTTGGGCCTGACCTACTTTGCAGGCCTCCTTCCCTGATCAATTTCAGAGCATGTTAGAAGCCCTCTTGGCTTGCAGTTCTCTATGCTTATCACTAGATGGCAGTACTGGCGAGGAACTTGAAGGAACTCCCGCAAGGAGCGTTGCTCCTTTTTGCACCCATGTTTCTTCCCTTGACTGATTGAATTGGAGGTTTTTAAGCAGAGGTTGGATGGCCATCTATCATGGACACTTTGGTTGAGATTCCTGCATTGCAGGGGGGTTGGACTAGATGACCCGCGGGGTCCCAATTCTATGATTCTATGAATTGATCGGTTGCATTTCTAACCCAGCTTTTTCCCTCCAAGGAGCTCAAGTACAGTGGAACCTCTACTTACGTGCCCCTCTTGTTACGTATCCTTCGGGATACACATGCGGCAAGCCCGGGAGTACAGTGGTACCTCGGGTTACAGACGCTTCAGGTTACAGACTCCGCTAACCCAGAAATAGTACCTCGGGTTAAGAACTTTGCTCCAGGATGAGAACAGAAATTGTGTTCCGGTGGCACGGCAGCAGCGGCAGGCCCCATTAGCTAAAGTGGTGCTTTAGGTTAAGAACCGTTTCAGGTTAAGAACGGACCTCTGGAACAAATTAAGTTCTTAACCCGAGGTACCACTGTGTTTAGAAGCATTGCAACCTCCAACTGCAGAGGCAGAGCAGAGCTGATCTAACCAAGTAGTTGCAAAAATGTGGAGAAACTGAATTGAAGATTGGGAAACTGAGAACCCAAGTGGACAGGCCTGTCTGTCCCTGGCCAATGCACTCCTGCATTCCTCTTGCGCTGGGCCTGCCCCTCCACCCTGCTGCTTGGCAGCCCCTCCTGCCATCCTGCCTCTCAAGCACCACATTCCCTGGCAGCAAACACTTAAGAATGGCTTTGACTCCACCGCTGTTCTGGCATCCTCCCTCCCACCCTCTCCTTTGGGAGCCCGCCCTTCCCCTGGATTGGAAGGGGAGCAAACACTCCAGAATATTTTTTTTCCACCTGTTTGCTCAGCTCTGTGGGCTTCGAGAGCTTTATTGGCTTCTGTTTATCAACCCTGCCAATGCCACCCCGCTCTCCAGTGCTGCAAGCGACAGGCACCTGCCACCTGCAAACCTTACTGCCAGTTCTAAGCAGCCCCCAGTTGAGGACCTGGCACTTCTTTCTTTTCCCTCCTCCTCCTCCTCAACCTCTCCACAGGGACGCTTGGGGCACCTTCCTTGATTCCTGCCAGGTGCCTCCATGCCAGCACTGCCAGGGCTGCTCCAGGACTCCTCCATCCTCCCAGCTCACTTTGGGAGCAAGGCTGTGGAGGCAGGTAAGTGGAAACTAACAGGCCTGGTTTGGGGGGCATCGTGGGGGCGGATGGGGGAGAGCAAGGCCAGCGACCCTTATTGGGGCACAAGGTTCTTTTCAAATGAAGTGCAAAGGCCTCGGGCCATTTTCCACTCTCGGGTGCTGTTTTCCACATCACTTTGCAAGAAAGAAGAATTTGAGTTACGTGAAAAGTGCACCAGGATTTTACAGTGGTACCTCGGGTTAAGAACTTATTTTGTTCCTGAGGTCCGTTCTTAACCTGAAACTGTTCTTAACCTGAAGCACCACTTTAACTAGTGGGGCCTCCTGCTGACGCAGCGCTGCCAGAGCACGATTTCTGTTCCCATCCTGAAGCAAAGTTCTTAACCCGAGGTACTATTTCTGGGTTAGCGGAGTCTGTAACCTGAAGCATATGTAACCTGAAGTGTATGTAACCCGAGGTACCACTGTACTTGGTTGGAGAACTGCCTTGCAACCAAGGAAGCAAAAATTCAGAGACCCCGAAACACTGGCACCAGCCTGCTTGTAGCTCACTGAAAGGCGCCTGATACGGACTCAGACCAGTGCTGTCTACTCTAGCTGGCAGCAACGACTCTCCAGGGTTTGAGGCAGGGGACTGACTTCCCAGCCCCACCTGGAGATTCTGCTCCTGGGGACTGAGCCTCCTGCATGCAGACCAGGTGCTCCAGCGCTGAGTTATAGCCCTCCCCTTGCAGCAAAGGTGGGCAGCGGAGGAGGGATGCTGAGGAGCGGCTGCAGGAGGCCAGTCCATTTCCTCTCTGAGCCTCTTTTGTTTGCTTGTGGGGAGAGGAGGGCCCTTCTCCCAGCAGAACAGCAAGGAGCTTTGTTCAGAGGGATGGGGAGGAGGGGGCCGCAGAGGGGTTGCAGCCAAGAGGCTGCTACTGGCTGCGGGATCCCAGGCAAGTTGGCAGGCAGCGGGGGCACCCTACAGTTATTTATTAATTTGAGGGGGGGTCCCCAGGTTTTTGTTTATTATTTACTTGTGATATATTTACTTATGAGAAAACACAACAAAATATAATACCAGATACTAACTAAAACAAAAACAGAGGCATATCTGCAGCCAATCATAGGAGCAGAATTCCAAACCAAACGTAATAAATCAATATCACAAACTTACAAGTGACACAAATTTGTTTCAGTTCTCCCATACCTTCTTAACTCCAGTACGCTCACCATACATTTAAAGCACATTTCCTCCTCTACAAAAAAGGGAGCTGTAGTTCACCCACACAGAGAACTATAATTCCTAACATCCTTAACAAACTATAAAGGTAAAGGTAAAGGGACCCCTGACCATTAGGTCCAGTCATGGCCGACTCTGGGGTTTCGGTGCTCATCTCGCTTTATTGGCCAAGGAAGCCAGTGTACAGCTTCTGGGTCATGGCGCCAGCATGACTAAGCTGCTTCTGGCGAACCAGAACAGCGCATGGAGACGCTGTTTACTTTCCCACCGGAGTGGTACCTATTTATCTACTTGCACTTTGACATGCTTTCGAACTGCTAGGTTGGCAGGAGCTGGGACCGAGCAATGGGAGCTCACCCCGTCACAGGGATTCGAACCGCCAACCTTCTGATCGGCAAGTCCTAGACTCTGTGGTTTAACCCACAGCGCCACCCGCGTCCTTGGGGTCACCAGGACATGTCCCACATCATGCTCCCCTAGAGCAACCCAAGGGAGGAGCGGGACGCAGAGGGAAAGCTGGCCCAGGGTTATCTCAGGTCAGTCCTCCAGACCCAGACAAGGACGCTGCCACTGCAGCAGCTTGGAAACTGCAAGTGAAATATCTTTTTTATCGGAACATTTTCTCTTAGCCTCTGAGCACACGGGAACAATCATTGACAATCTTAATCCGTACGGTTGTAGATTTTCAGATAAGCTAAAAATAGATGGGCTCTGCTTCGGACCCTTGTCCATTGCTCAGGCGCTATTATTTCCCTATTTCCCTGTTGAACAATGATTACAAATTGTTTGCAAAAATATTAGCTAACAGATTGAAAAAAATATTAAATGAATATATACATCAAGATCAGGCAGGGTTTCTTCCAGGTAGACAAATGAAGGAGAATATAAGGAATATTATGAATATAATAGAATACCTGGAGGTCAAAAATGAAAAGGAAGCAGCAATGATGTTTATAGATGCTGAAAAAGCCTTTGACAACATCTCTTGGAAATTCATGACAAAGCTGCTTGAAGAAATTAAATGTGGCCCTAAATTTCTATAGGGAATACCAGCAATTTACTTGCAACAAAAAGCAAAATTAATTATAAATCAGGTGATAACGGACGAATGTCAGATACAAAAAGGAACTAGACAAGGATGCCCACTATCACCATTGTTGTTCATCCTGGTACGGGAAGTACTTGCCAGAAACATAAGAGCAGATAAAGAGATCACAGGTGTAAAAACTGGGGAAAGTGAGTTTAAACTAAAAGCATATGCAGATGACTTAGTGATAACAGTAGAAGATCCAAAAACTTCACTCCCTAAAGTGATAGAAAAGATTCAGAAATTTGGGGAAGTGGCAGGGTTTAAATTAAATAGAAATAAAACAAAACTACTAGTTAAAATTTGAAAAAAGGGCACCTGCACCTCTGCTGCTGGCCTGCACACGCCCTTGGAAAAGCCGAGGCGGCGGAAGCACGCCAGCGTCAGACTTCTTGGCTCCGAGCCACCCTTCCTGGCATGCCCTTGGCCGTGTCCCCCACTGCTGCAATCCAGTAGGCCAGGACGGGGAGCCTTTCGCCCTGCGGATGAGAAGCAAATAGAATCAGAGAACTGTAGAGCTGGAAGGGAACCCAAGGGCCGTCTAGCCTGACCCGTGCAATGCAGGAATTGTCGGAAAAGAACCCCCGACAGACAGCCATCCACCCATGACAGAGAGTCCACTTCAACGCCCGACAGCTCTTACCTTCAAACCTTCTTCCCAATCTTTAGTTGGAATATCCTGTCTTGCAATTTGAATTCCTTGGTTCTGGTCCTACCCTCCAGAGCAGGAGAAAACAAGCTTGCCCTGTGACCTTCAGATCACCTCTCAGCCTTCTCTTCTCCAGGAGAACAAAAGGCCATCATATTGCATCAAGTTTATCCATTTTTCTGTTTATCTCTTTAAAACGAGTGTTATTTTCTCAGCGATGGCCATTCGCCAAACGTTGTTGGGCCATAAATCTGGGGGTGGTTCCTTTAAGACCTTCCAGGTTTGAGCTAAAGAGAGACGAGCCTTTGAAGAGGTACAGTGGTACTTCAGGTTAAGAACTTAATTCGTTCTGGAGGTCTGTTCTTAACCTGAAACTGTTCTTAACCTGAAGCATCACTTTAGCTAATGGGGCCTCCCGCTGCCACCGTGCGATTTCTGTTCTCATCCTGAAGCAAAGTTCTTAGCCCGAGGTACTATTTCTGGGTTAGTGGAGTCTGTAACCTGAAGCGTATGCAACCCGAGGTACCACTGTATAATAAACAAGAAGTGGAGGGAGAAATGCAGGAGCTCCCAAATTATTTTGAATATTTCTGAGGATACCAGTCCCCAAAGTGTCTGTATTAGCAGGCAGCCCCACCATGAGAGGTAATACGTTCCCTTAGTACCTTGTTTCTTGAGCATCCACCCTGATTTGCTGGCCCAAAGCTTGCCCTGTCTTTTACTGAGCATTATGATTTTTTTGGGGAAAGGGCACACAACGCGAATCTGTCCTGCCTTCATCCCGATTTGCTCACAGTGTGTTTAGGCAGCTTCCTCTTAGTCATTCATTCGCTCCACACTTCTTAGGGCATTTCCCTGCCACTCTCTATTCTGCAAAATGCCCTATTCTTTTTACCAAGCGGATTTGTTGCACTTGGGCAATAGAAAGCTCGCATCCACTTGAAATGCACAAACCTAAAGTTCTGCTGAGGGACTTTAGAGGGACGCGGGTGGCGCTGTGGGTAAAAGCCTCAGTGCCTAGGGCTTGCCGATCGAAAGGTCGGCGGTTCGAATCCCCGCGGCGGGGTGCGCTCCCGTTGCTCGGTCCCAGCGCCTGCCAACCTAGCAGTTCGAAAGCACCCCCGGGTGCAAGTAGATAAATAGGGACCGCTTTATAGCGGGAAGGTAAACGGCATTTCCGTGTGCGGCTCTGGCTTGCCAGAGCAGCGATGTCACACTGGCCACGTGACCCGGAAGTGTCTTCGGACAGCGCTGGCCCCCGGCCTATAGACTGAGATGAGCGCACAACCCTAGAGTCTGTCAAGACTGGCCCGTATGGGCAGGGGTACCTTTACCTTTACCTTAAAGTTCTACCGTGCACTTGAATCCATCCTGCAAAGGACTGACAGTTTGGTGGTGTTTTGCTGCTTGCTGGGAGGTCAGGTATGCCAGCTCTAGGGGGCGGAGGTGTCTCCTGCCCCCTTAATATTTGTTTGAAGGGGGCCCAGCCCCTCAATATTGAGGGGGGCTGGCAGAACATTGCAGAAGGCTGCACCAGGCTGCGTGGTGTCAGGAGACGTGTGATGTTGTGACACACTTGCGTCACACATAGATGATGCGCAACATCCCCCGGGCATCACCTGTTCAGTGTGGATTGGGGCCATGCAGTGAGGCCCTTTCAGGGCTGCCATGCCTCCTCCTGGGTGCAGTGAAAAATGGTTTTCATTCTTAGATGAGAAATAACACTGTTTCACTATAAACAAAACAAAACATAGTGGAAAGCAGTAATTCACCCCTGCTACAGAAACAGGGGCTAATGGGTGATGTGAGGGACCAATAAGCTATTCATCTTTCATGCTGTTGCCACCCAACAAAAGGGGCAGAAGCTGCAAATGGGAAGCTTTTAACTAACATTGCAAGGGGCCTTTGCTGGATGGGCATGGGTTTTGCATGAACATTATAGGAAGCACTGCAGGGACAGGGATTACAGTACAAGATATCCCTACATGAAGTTACATGTTCAACTACCATTCTAATTCTGCTCGGGTGAGTAATCTCTGTGGAGTAAAACGCCCCCTGCGCATGATCGTCTACATGGCAGCTCTCTCAACACCAAAGGCAAAAGTGAGAGATCAAAGAGCTGCCTTCCCTATCAGAAAGGCGCAGTTGATCTTCACAGCTGTCTTACCACATCACCATCTCTTGCCTGCAAGATCTACGAAGCGGACGGCATCTCTCGCCCTGGATCTATTTATACCTCCTTCTCTGTTCCGCAAGGAGCCCACCTTTGGGGAGGTCATGGCCCTTCCAATAATGTGCCTGCCCTGCAAGGCAGATGACATTCTGCGTGGCTGGTCTTGTTGCTCCTGATGCGGAATGGCAACCCGTAGTGTGGGGGGGGAGGAAGGAAAGGGGGTCACTGCCGGTTGCCTCAAGCGGACCGGAATAGATGGGGTGTGAACCGGAGGATCTGCCTGCAGAGCTCTGGATTATTTAAAGGGAGACGCGTTGACTTGCACACTGTCAGGCAGGCTCCGGGGATGCTAGATTCTTTGCGCCCTACGAGCCCCTTTCCTCCGTCCCCCCAGGGACCTTGCTTCAGGGAGGTCACCTAGGGTACCTCTCCTGCCTGCCAGGTCCTGCTGCAGAGCTCTCCCCGGCTGCTGTCGCCTTGCTCTTCTTCCATGCCTGATCTCCACTGTCCTCCTCTGTCCGCCCCAAGTGCCTCGCTCAGGTGAGCAAGGACCCTCCTTGGGCTCTCGCTCCCATCTGGGGCAAAGCAGGGGATGGCGCTCTTCAAGGACCACATCTTCCCAGCTCTGTCCCTCTGCCAGTCCATCATCTTTTTCTTCTGCAAGGGGATGATTGAAGGGTTGGTGATCCTCCTCTTCCTGTGGCTGCTGGTCCAGGTCCTGCTAGACAAACATCAGCATGGTGAGTATGCCCTCCTCCTCCTCCATCCTCACCCCCTCCCCGAAGCATCATGGGAACTATAGTTTCCTAAGGAGATTGTAAAAAAAGGTAAAGGGACCCCGACCATTAGGTCCAATCGTGCCCGACTTCGGGGTTTTGGCGCTCATCTTGCTTTATTGGCCGAGGGGAGGCTGGGCTAGTTCATGTGGCACAGCATGACTAAGCGGCTTTGGCGAACCAGAGCAGCGCACGGAAACTGTAGCCACTGTGAGAATAGGGGTTTCCTGTGGCGTTAAACACAGAGCCTAGGACTTGCCAATCAGAAGGTTGGCGGTTCAAATCTCCATGCGGTGAGCTTTCAAATTTACTGAATTTACCTTTTGAAACAGCTCTCAGCACCTTCAACAAACTACGGGTACGGTTCCCAGGATTCTTTGGGAGAAGCCATGGCTGCTAACGTGGCACAAAAGTGCCTTCTAAGCCTGTGGGGTGGGCATTCTGTGGATGATTATCCTTTGTATGGGTGAATCTGGAGCGATAGCATTTTGCAGGAGGAGGGATTTGTGTCTTAGCTTTGTGCTTTGAAAGGGGACTAAAGCACTCTGGCCGTGGGCAGTTTGGGAAGTGATGGGAAGATGCATTGCAAAGTGTGTGGGATGAACAAGTGACTAATGGAGAGACCACCCTGCAAGCAAATCAGGGTGAGCAGTCATTGTCGTATAACCACCCTGTAAACAAATCAGAATCAATGCTCAGTAAAAAAATGGACATGGTCTAACCTTTAGCCCCAGCGCCCTGTGCCAACTACTGTCCTCAGGGTTCTTTGGGTTTCCATGGCTCCTCAAAGATATTGCTCCAAGGGTATAATGTAGATAAGGCCCCAGATGGGTCCGTCCCAGAGTTCCCTAGGAAGAGGGCTGGACTGTTAAGCCACTTTGGGACTTGCACCTCTGTGAGGGGGGCGGAGGGAGGGTCCTCCCCGCTACTCTCAGCACCCTTAACAAACTACCAGATTTTGTAGTTTGGTAGAAGCCATAGCTGGCTGTTTGTTTGCTTTGTTAAGTTGTATGGTACCATACTGTTTTCGAAGTATAGTGCAGATGGGGCCTGTCGCTACTCCATCACATCGTTGGCATTAGGATATTTGATTCCCGCATTGCAGGGCGTTGGACTAGATGATCCTTGGGTTCCCTTCCTGTCCTACCATTCTATGATTCTACGGCATCTGGTTCTATTTCCCATCCCTTTTCAGGGAGCGGGAAAGCATTAAAAAGTCAGCTGTGGGTCATATGCTCTAAAAATCAAAGGCAGCCTTCTAACACAGATCTCCAGGTGTTGTGAGGCTCCCAGCTGCCATTAACCTCAACCATCGTGCCCAGTGCTCAGGGTTGGTGGAAGCTAGACAGTCCAGCAACATCCTGGGGGCCACAGTCTGCAAACAGGAGCAGCAGCAGCCACTATTTATCGGTGTTCTCTGGATTGATTTCTGTTCTGGACGTTGAGACGAAGAAAGGAACATTGGCAAGTTCCTGCACTGCCGGGGGTTGGGCTAGATGACCCTTGGGATCCCTTCCAGCCCTAAAATTATTTCCCCATTTTTGTTAGAGGTGCAGGGGATTGGCCCAGGGCCTTCTACATGCGAAGCATGCGCTCTAGCCTTGCGCTGCAGCCCTCCCTCCTCCCATCTCATGGGACAATGCAACATTCTCTCTCTCACACACACATATTCTGGGGTCAGCTGCCAACTGACCTGGAAGCCAAGCACAGATTGAGTGCTTTGCAAAGGGCTGTTTGACTAGGCAAGGGCCTCTTAGCTCCACAACAGCCCTGCGTCAGCAAAACTGCAGGCCTGATAAGCAGAGCTTTTCTTTCCCTGGGGTTTATCTGGTTTGAGGAGAGTCTGGCTTTATTTTAGCTCCTGAGCAAACATGTCGAACTGATGTCATCAGGCCGGAGCTGCTCTGCAGGTTGGGGAGTTGGGATGGGGTCCCTTCCCTGCCTTCTCTACTCTCCTTTTGAGCTGCCCCTCTTGCCCTTCTGAGCCTTAGTGGTGGTAGTTGTTGCCAATTTGTTCCAGCTGTTGTGAGCAGAGATGGGGAGGAATCCAGTTCACACTTAAAGGAGATACTGTACTACCTAATCCACACATTCCAAAGCTGCCGATAGTGATAGCGCAATGTCATTATACAGATCTATGGTGCGGCTATGGAACGTGGGTGGTGCTGTGGTCTAAACCACTGAGCCTAGGGTCTGCTGATCGGAAGGTTGGCAGTCTGAATCCCTGTGACGGGGTGAGCTCCCGTGCAATTAGATAAATAGGTACCACTCCGGCGGAAAGGTAAACAGCGTTTCCATGGGCTGCTCTGGTTCGCCAGAAACAGCTTAGTCATGCTGGCCACATGACCCAGAAGCTGTCTGCGGACAAACACCAGCTCCCTTGGCCAGTAAAGCGAGATGAGCGCTGTAACCCCAGAGTCGTCCACAACTGGACTTAACGGTCAGGGGCCCCTTTAGCTTTACCTTTATGGTGCGGCTGCATTTGGAATGTGCATGTTAGGCAAAACTGCATACAGATTGCATAATAATTTTCAAGGTGACTTGTTATACTTCAAAAACCTGCAACTTTATGTGGACATGTGAACAGAACTTACAAATGAAAACAAAAAAGCAAAACCAAGCAAAACCCAAATGGACATGTTTGGCCATCCCTACTTGTGAGTGGAGAAGTGAGGACATAGATGGAGATCCAGTGGTGGTGCAGAGATTACAGTGTTAGACTAGGACCTGGGAGACCAGAGTTTTAATCTCCACTCGGCCATGAAGCTCACTGGGGGGTCCAGTCTCGGCCTCTCAGCATAACCTACCTCACAGCTTTGCTGCTGAGAATAAAGGAAGCGGGGAAAACCAGGTAAGCCAACTTGAGCTCCTTGCAGAAAAAGGTGGGGGTATAAATGCAGTAAATAAATTAAATAGGCTCTGCAGTTGCTTTTCCCACAATACTACCCTCTTCTGCAAACAGAAAGAAAATTTGGACTTAACATTCGGAGTAACTTTCAGGTGGTAAGACAATGCACACTCATTCCTTGGAGGTTTTTAAGCAGCGGTTGGATGGCTATCTGTCAGGGATGCTTCAGTTTAGATCTGATTCTTGCATTGCAGGGGGTTGGACTAGATGACCCTCCGGTCCCTTCCAACTGTAGATTCTATGATTCTCTGATTCTCCTCCTCTCCTCTGCTCAGTGCACTTACAGGTATTCCTGGGCGTGGGGCTGAGCCTGCTCTGCTTCTGCCTGCTCCTCGGCTGCGCGATTTGCTGGCACCGGCGGAGGACGCGGCGCCCGGATTGCGGCGAGGCGCAGGCGTCGGGCCGCCCCCTGGTGGATCTGGGCCCCGCTCTGCCCTCTCCGACGACGGCGGTGCCCATCCAGCAACAGTATGCCCAGCTGGCGGGGCAGCTTCTGGAGAGCCTGCCTGCTGCAGCTGCTCGTGCGCCGGCCTCGCCCGACGGCAGCCCCCCGACGGCCCTCCTGCGCGGCCGCGCCTCCCTGCCCAGCCTCGTCGTCCCGCCAGGGCTGAGCGCGCCGCCCGCCCAGCGCCCTCGGGGCCCGCAGCGCCGGAGCACCATTGCCGCGGGAGACAGCAGCCCCCTCGCCGTGCGCCCCGTCGCGGGGCTCCTGCCCGCCGCCGCCCAGGCCAAGCCGCGACCTCGCCTGCACTTCGCCGTCGGCTACTCTCCTCCGGAGGCCACGCTCACCGTGAACGTCGTCGGCGTCGCCCACTTGCCCGGGGGCCTCGGCGCCAGCCGCAGCTGCTACGTCGAGGCGCGCCTGCTGCCGGGCTCGGCGGAGCCGCAGCGCACCGCCCGGCGCCGGAGGAGCCTCCACCCCGAGTTCCACCAGCAGCTCCGCTTCCCCGGCTGCGCCCGCCAAGAGCTGCCGGGCCTGACGCTGCGCCTCGCTGTGTACGCCAGGGCTTTCGCCCGTCGGAAGGACGCCTTCGTGGGCGAGGTGCTGTTCCCCTGCGCCCAGGTGGCCGGCGAGCAGGGCGCCTCGCCCTCGGCGCTCGCCCAGGAGCTGTCGCTCACGAAGGTGAGGCTCGCGTCGCCCAGAGGCCAGGGAGTCGTCGCCTCCCGCCCGGCGGGGACCCCCAATTCCCGCTCCTCCTGCGGACCTCTTGAGGTTCTTGGGGCAGCAATGGTAGTTCCCTAAAATTCAAATTGTAATATAAGAAATAAAAGGAGCAACAGAAAGGCAATTGAGAGCCAATCCCCAATATTCCTAGCGATGGGTGGGTCACCTGCAACCACAAATGCTCACATCCCGCTGGTCTCCCATGGGGCACAGTTTGAGAATAATAATAATAATAATAATAATAATAATAATAATAATTTATACCCCGCCCATCTGGCTGGGCCTCCCCAGCCACTCTGGGCGGCTTCCAACAAAACACTAAAATACAACAGTCTATTAAACATTAAAAGCTTCCCTTAACAGGGCTCCCTTCAGATGTCTTCTAAAAGTTGTATAATTATTTATCTCCTTGACATGTGAAGGGAGGGCGTTCCACAGGGCGGGTGCCACTACCGAGAAGGCCCTCTGCATGGTACCCTGTAACTTGGCTTCTTGCAACGAGGGAACAGCCAGAAGGCCCTCGGCGCTGGACCTCAGTGTCGAGGCAGAAACCCTGCATTGGATAGGCAAGGGCTGGTTTTATTTGTGTGCATGCGTGTCATGAGCATAGGCAGGATTTATTTCCAGGAGAGGGCAGAACCTCAGTTAGTTATGTATTTTGTAATGATTTACTTGATTTAGGGAGGGGCAGCTGCCCCCCCTGGCTACGCCCACAGTGGGTGGGTGTTCCCTTTGGAGCAGGCTTAGGAAACTGGCCCTCCAGATGTTATTGGATTTCAACTCCTATTGGCTGCTGCCCTTGGGGGTATGTAGGCCCCTGAAGGGGAGGCTCATGCAGTTTTATATAAGTGAAATATGTAAACAGCATTTTAAAGCCTTAGGCAAGTGACTTTGACACGCAGGCATCCCAACAAAGAGGCCGTAAGCAGCGCAAAGTGACATGTGCAAAGTTGCTCTTGTGCTGGAACCCTGCTTCCCGGTTTCCCATTGAGGCTTCTGGTTGGCCACTGTGCAAAGAGGATGCCGGACTCGATGGGCATCCACTGGCCTGATCCAGCAGGCTCTTCTTAGGTTCTTAAATCCATGTGAAATATAAAACTGGAGCTGGCTAACTCCTGTATGTGTATATCTATGTCATGACGTGTTCATTCTCTCCTCCTTCAGTGCCACAGTTCCCAGGACGTGAGCTCCGCCTCTTGGCTCTCCCAGCCCAAGTCCCTGGGGCAGCTTTTCCTCTTGCTCCAGTATCAGGCTCTGGCCAATCGCATCAAAGTTCTGGTTCGCAAAGCAGAGAACCTGGGACGCGTCAGCCGGATGCTGGGAACGCCAGGTAGGATGCATGTACCAACACATGTATAGGAACACACAAACATAGGGAGCTGCCTTCTGCTGAGCCAGACCATTGCTCCCTATAGTTCAGTGTTGTCTACTCTGACTGACAGCAGCTCTCCGGGGTTCAGGCAGGGAGTCCCTGCCAGACCTACCTGGAGGTGCCAGCAGGGATTGAACCTGGGACCTTCTGCATACAAAGCAGATGTTCTGCCACTGAGCTATGCCTTCCTCTGTGATCTCCACATGCAATAATTCTGTGCTTAAACTGGGATCTGGTGCAGCTATTGCTCAGTACCTTCACAGATTTAGGTACAGGACTCGGGACACAAATTTTCATAAAATTTTCATATTTTAATCTATATGCATACACACACATTTTTAAAAAATCTGTGAGAAATTAAGATGGGGATCTCTCAGACCCCGTCTGCATTATGCATTGAAAGCAATAGGATACCACATTAAACACACATGGCTTCTCCCAAAGAATCCTGGGAACTGCAGTTTGTTAAGGGTGCTGAGAGTTGTTAGGAGACTCCTCTTTACAGTACTACATTTCCCAGAGTTCTCCAGGAAAAGGGCAGGACTGTTAAACAACTCTGGAAATTGCAGCTTGAAACTGATTTCTTTGCAGAGTGGGAAATGCTAGCTTAGGGGAGTTTTTCTCCCTCCGTAGAGACTACCAAGGGGCTCCCTGGGACTGATGATCAGGTGATGATCCATTATAGGGAGCCTCTTGCAGACCCTGCTCCTGATCAACAGATGGGCACTGAAAGCACATCTCCAAAGACGATGGCTGTAAATGCCAATCAGCAATTTTCTTTGAACTTTGACAGGTTATATCAGGTGGTGGGCGGTCCTGTCTACCTATCAAAGTTGGGGGAGAGAGGAATCTCTCGTTTCCCTTCTTTCATAGAATGGTGGAATTGGAAGGGACTCCAAGGTTGACCATCTCTGCCTCTTCCAGCCGTCAGGCACAAACCTGTCCGTCTTGAGGAGTCCTGCATCTCCCATCCCTTATCCGCTGCTTTCCCTCTTTCTAGACCACTACGTTCTGATCCACCTCTGCCACGACGGAAAGGTCATTGACACAAAGGAGACCAAGTCCATAGCGGGCTACAACCCCGTGTGGAATGCCCCGTTCCTCTTCAGCTTACCTGCCGGAGACATCCAGGAACAGCAGTTGTCCCTGGAGTTCACAGTCATGCAGGTAATGGATGGAAGATTTGAGCCAAAGTATGTTAGGGACGCGGGTGGCACTGTGGGTTAAACCACAGAGCCTAGGACTTGCCAATCAGAAGGTCAGCGGTTCAAATCCCGTTGAGCTCCTGTTGCTCAGTCCCAGCTTCTGCCAACCTAGTAGTTCGAAAGCACGTCAAAAGTGCAAGCAGATAAATAGGTACCGCTCCGGCAGGAAGGTAAACGGCGTTTCTGTGCGCTGCTCTGGTTTGCCAGAAGCGGCTTAGTCCTGCTGGCCACATGACCCGGAAGCTGTACGCCGGCTCCCTCGGCCAATAAAGCAAGATGAGTGCCACAACCCCAGAGTCTGTCACGACTGGACCTAATGGTCAGGGGTCCCTTTACCTTTACGTTAGGGAAAGGGATTGATCTCTCCCTGATGACCAGTGATGGAGATGGTGACGGTTGCCACATTTAGTTAGTAGGGTGAAGACAGATGCAAATAGCTGTGGTTTCCATTGAACCTCTGACTCCACTCTGGCCGTAACTAAGCTGAGTGCTGGAAGATTTGGGGCGGATAAAATAGAAGTCCTTCACGCAATGCCTAGTTAAACTATGGCACTCGCTTCCCTAGGAGACAGGGATGGCCACTGGCCACCAACATGGATGGCTTTAAAAGAGGATTAGACACATTCACAGAGGAGGGGGCCAAGGATGCCTCCTAGCCAGAAAGGAATCCTTTCTTGAATCCTGCTTGCTGGTTCCTCACAGCCACTGTGAGAACAGGGTGCTGGACTAGATGGGCCATGGGCCTGATCCAGCAGGCTCTTCTGAACAATTTTTATGGCCAGGATACTATATGCAGCTCCCTAGCAAAGGTCCCTAGCAAAGGGATGCGGGTGGTGCTGTGGGTTAAACCACAGAGCCTAGGGCTTGCCGATCAGAAGGTCGGCGGTTCGAATCCCCGCGACGGGGTGAGCTCCTGTTGTTCGGTCCCTGCTCCTGCCAACCTAGCAGTTCGAAAGCATGTTAAAGTGCAAGTAGATAAATAGGTACCACTCCGGCAGGAATGTAAACGGCGTTTCCGTGCGCTGCTCTGGTTCGCCAGAAGCGGCTTAGTCATGCTGGCCACATGACCCGGAAGCTGTATGCCAGCTCCCTCGGCCAATAAATCAAGATGAGCGCCGCAACCCCAGAGTCAGCCACGACTGGACCTAATGATCAGGGGTCCCTTTACCCTTTAATAGCTGTACTTGGGTTTGGGCACATTGAAGATCCTGTGGAACTAGTGCTCTTCCTCTCCGGTCTCCTCCTCCAGGGGATGGATGAAAAGCGCAACCCCAGAAATGAGCAGCGCAACCCCACAGTTGTCCGCGCCTGGCCCTAATGGTCAGGGGTCCCTTTACTTAGCAAAGGTCTGCAGTGCATGCCTGCAGCAGGGCTTCTCCTAGCCCAGGCTCCCTCAACCTCGGCCCTCAAGATGTTTTTTTGGCCTACAACTCCCATGATCCCTAGCTAGCAGGACCAGTGGTCAGGGATGATGGGAACTGTAGTCTCAAAACATTGGGAGGGCCAAGGTTGAGGAAGCCTGTCCTAGCCCATTGCGGGGCGGGGCGGGGCAGGGGGAGGCAAGCAAGGGTAGAACAGCTTGCAGCCTGGGTTGACCTGAAAGGTGCAGGCACACAGGTAATTCCCTGGGCCCAAATGATCTTGAGTGCTGAGCCCAGCCCACTCTGGATCCACACTTCTGGACTTGCTGAACAGTTGTACAAATGTACAGATTCATTATTTATCTATTATTGTGATTTTTAAATCCTTCCTTCACCCTAAGGTCCATGGGGATGTCACAACATTGAAACCCAATGTTAAAAACAGTTCCAAACAATTTATAGCCACAAAAATATTGGGGGGGGGGGCGTTTCCTAAAAATATGCTCTTCGAGTGTCAAAAGCTGCGGTCAAGAGGTGTGTCTTAAGCCACTGAGTTGTGCTAAAGAGAAATGAGGTTTTAGAAATACACTGTGGTTTAGTGGTTAGAGTTTTAGAGTAGGACCTAGGAGAGACCTACTTCTAATCTCTACTCTGCCATGAAGCTCACTTACCCTCAGCCTAACCCACTTCACAGGGTTGTTGTAGGGATAAGTGGAGGAGGAGGAGGAGGAGAACCTGGTGAATCCTTTCTGTCCAGGGAGGAAACAAAACAACGCACTGATTCCTGCAACTTACACAAGAGGGTGCACTTCCTCAAGAAGTATTTTGTAGGTGGGAAAACTTGGGCTGAGATTTCCTATAGGCAGGAAAAACCCTGAGGTGAAATGGAAAAGTGCTGCCATGGCCCCCTGCCCAACTTTGCTTGCCAGGGTCCTGTGGTGGCAGTGGCGGCTTCCAGGTTCTGGTGGGATCTGATGGGGTCTGGGGGATCTTGCAGGAACCTGGAGGTCGCTGCCGCTTTGTCCTTGCTTCTCTGGCAGCAGCGGGAGGGTGCATGGGAGGGGTGCCACCAGCAAGAGAGCCCTGCTGGAAGCCACAGTCAGTTCTCTTCACTCGTCCGGCATGGGGCGGGGTGTGGCAGGGCTTGGATTCCACCTCCCGCGATGGCTGCCTCAGTCCGTCTCAGGATGGGCTGGCCCTGCTATAGGGCAGCTCTAAGGTCCCCCACGGGACGCGGGTGGCGCTGTGGGTAAAAGCCTCAGCGCCTAGGGCTTGCCGATCGAAAGGTCGGCGGTTCGAATCCCCGCGGCGGGGTGCGCTCCCGTTGTTCGGTCCCAGCGCCTGCCAACCTAGCAGTTTGAAAGCACCCCCAGGTGCAAGTAGATAAATAGGGACCGCTTACTAGCAGGAAGGTAAACGGCGTTTCCGTGTGCGGCTCTGGCTTGCCAGAGCAGCTTTGTCACGCTGGCCACGTGACCCGGAAGTGTCTCCGGACAGCGCTGGCCCCCGGCCTCTTGAGTGAGATGGGCGCACAACCCTAGAGTCTGTCAAGACTGGCCCATACGGGCAGGGGTACCTTTACCTTTACCTTTTAAGGTCCCCCACAACTATTCCTGACTCTTGTTTCCCCCTCCATCTTGTCCCAGGCTCGCCTCTACACCCGCAGCTGCGCTGTTGGCCGAGTGCTGATCGGTCCTGTGGCCCCTGAGATGGGGCAGGTCCACTGGAAGGAGATGTGCAGCCGGGGGAACATGGAATCTGCTCGCTGGCATGCCATTCAGTCAGAAGGCTTTCAGCTCTGCCCTTGAGATGCACGTCCAGAGCTTCCTGCTGGGGAGTCGTCTGCCTGTCATGGCGAAGGATGGCAGCCAAAGCAATGGCACCCTGCGAGAAATGGCCTTCCTCTGCTATGGGAGGCCAGGGAAGGTTTGAGGGGAACTTGGCATTGCGACACCTTTAAGGTACGCAGGACTGCAGGAAGTCCAGCTGGAGAACTCCAAGCCAGTTCCAAGTCCTCCCAAGGCAGGGACTTTTTGCCCAAAGAGAGGTGATGCTGCTCAGAGCCCTTCAGAAACCCTGGGGTTGAAAAGTCGACTGCAAGCTCTCCAGGACAGCCAAGGAAGGCAGAAAGAGCAGGTGGATCAAGCTTTCTTCCTCCATAAGGCTCCCCACGTCCATCAGGCACGCTGACCTCAGATCTAAGATCCACTGCAGCAACAGCAGCTTCTGGGGCATTGCATTATCTGCATAACTTCTGGCTGCCGGCCATAACAAAAGAGAACTGGAAACTGCATCAGCAAGGCTGGATTTGTTTTTTGTTTTGTTTTGGTTTTTTAAAAAATAATATTTATTAAAGTTTAAAGATTACAGAAAAAGAAAAAGAGAAAACAACAAAAAGATTCAACAAAACACACACTACAGTACACAAAAAAGAAAAAAAAGTACATAAAAACCGATACAACAATACAACAACAAAAAAACACACATCCAATATTCCATATCTTTATCTTTCATTTGCTTGTTTCATCGACCTCCTCACACCTCCCTTTTTGTGTTCTAGTTTAATTAATTGTTTCAGCAAATTCTTTCCATCTTTCTCAATTTTTATTGAGTAATTTATCTTAACAGTCTAACCTATTAATTAACTCAGCAAATCCTTTCCATCTTTCACTATATTCTGTTATTCAATTTGCCTTAATTTATTTTAACCTTATCTTACCATAAAATACCTTAAAGCTTAATACTTAATACTTATTTATACATAACTCCTTATATCATTTCTACTAAAGTCAGATAGTTTCATTCCAACATTTCCCCTAATATTCATTAATTTTACACTAATTCCCAAAATGAAATTTTTTCTTTATAAACTTTCTTCCAATCTTCATCCAACGTCTCTTCTTCCTGGTCTCGGGTTATGTCAGTCCTTACTGTCCATTCCATCTAGTCCATCAACCTGGTAATCTTCTGTCCGAGGCTCTTAAGTCTTTCCTATGTCCCTTCTGCAGATCTTCTTCTTCTTGTTTATACCTGCACTTTTCCTTGTCTTTTGTTGATCTCTTTCTTAATTTCTTTCCTTTCTCATTGAGGAGTAGGTCTCGGGGAGATTCCAACCCAAAATTATCTCCATCTCCCCTCATCAGACCAGCCCATTCCCCACAGTCCCACTCCCCACAGTCAGCAGTATAATCCAGAAAATATTTAAAAGCATGTTTCAAAGCTGGATTTGGATGGCGCTGAAAGGCATGGCGCTGCTCTAGGTGGGGTGCTGACTGCTCCCGTGCTGCTGTTGCAACGAGGAGGAACTTGAACTGGGGCAGCTGGGTGCAAACAGAAATGTCAGAACAGAAGGTGCTGGTGGCATCGCTGCAAGGCAGCCTGGAAGGGTTGTTGTGCTGGAGGCTGCGATGGACAGAGCTCTGCAAGGAGAGCCTCTCTGTATAAAGCACATGCATTGCCCATTAACAGCCTTTATTGCATTCCTTCTCAGAACATGCTTCTTTCATTCCCTTATCTCACCCTTCCCTCCAGGGGGTTCAGGGCCTGCACACACGGATCTCCCCACCACCTCCTCTTCATATCCTCTCAACAACCCTGCAAGGTTGTATTATTGGGCAATGCCATGTGGAAGATGTTTCTCACTGTATGTTAACTTATCCCCTCCATGCAAATCCAAAGAGGCACTTTTTGCAAACCCCTGTTTGTGCAGGATAGCAGGCTGTCTCTGAGTGAGAGGGTCCAGGGGTTGTTGAGGGAACACACTGCGCTGGGAACGAGATCGAGAAGAAGCACCTGGGTAAAATAGCTGTAAAAAGTGAGGGGAATTTGGAGCACTAAACTGAAACGGGGCATCCCTGTTATCAGATATCTCACATTATATGTTTGCTGTTTTTATTTGCAGGTGTCCGAGTCATATTTTAAACTGATTATGATTGTATGGAACTGTCATGGCCTTCAATTAGTACAATAAACTTATTTTGAGTGATGTCGGTTAGACTTGAGGGCAACCTACCAGCTCAAAATCTCCTCAGAAACTTTATGACTGAGCAAGGATTTGAACTCTAGTTTCTTGTACTATGAGGGATGCAAGAAGCTGCCTTGTACTTAGTCAGATCCTTTGGTCCATCCAGCTCAATGTTGTCCAAACCGACCTGCAGCAATGGCTCTCCAGGGATCCATGCAGGGGTCTCTCACAGCCCCACCTGGAGATGCTGTTGCAGACTGAACCTTCTGAATCAGGTGGCTCCGAGTTATGGTCCTTAGAGAATCACAGAATTGTAGAGTTGGAAGGGACCCCAAGGGTCATCTAGTCCAACCCTCTGCAATGCAGGAATTGCAACTGAAGCATCCCTGAAGGATGGCTGTCCAACTTCTGCTTAAAAACCTCCAAGGAAGAAGAGCCCACAACCTCCCAAGGGAGTCTGCTGCAGCTGCACAGCTGTTACCATCAAGAAGTTCTTCTTGTCATTTGAATCTGTTGGTTTGGGTCCTACCCTCTGGAACAGCAGAAAACATGCTTGCTCCACCTTCTTGTGACAGCCCTTCAGGTATTTGAAGGTTGCTCTCATGTCGCCTCATGTTTAGCCTGGAGAAGAGGAGACTTAACATCCTCTAGGAGTCTTGGTTGACCACAAACTTGACATGAGCCAACAGTGTGACGCGGCAGCTAAAAAAGCCAATGCAATTCTGGGCTGCATCAATAGGAGTATAGCATCTAGATCAAGGGAAGTAATAGTGCCACTGTATTCTGCTCTGGTCAGACCTCACCTGGAGTACTGTGTCCAGTTCTGGGCACCACAGTTCAAGAAGGACACTGACAAACTGGGACGTGTCCAGAGGAGGGCAACCAAAATGGTCAAAGGCCTGGAAACGATGCCTTATGAGGAACGGCTAAGGGAGCTGGGCATGTTTAGCCTGGAGAAGAGGAGGTTAAGGGGTGATATGATAGCCATGTTCAAATATATAAAAGGATGTCATACAGAGGAGGGAGAAAGGTTCTCCTCCGCCCTGCATAAAATGACCTTTGTAGGCCCACAATTTGGGATGAGTCCGGGGCAGGTTGCAAGATCATAACACAATATGAAAAACAATTTAACCACAAAAATAAGACGAGTCTGAAATATACTCAGAGTCGCAAAGTGATTTCATGCTCTTTATTCAGCTCATAGTGGTGAGGAGGAATGAATGAAAGTCCCCTCAAAGTATCTGCTTTATATACATTATTTACACAATGGGCTGCACATGATTGGCTAATTCTGGAATTCTACTGTAAGCCAATCAGGTTGTGGATTCACTTCTATCTGGAGCATGATTGGGTAGTTCCTGTCAACCAATCATACTGCTGCATTGTTCTAGGACCAATCAGACTGCTGCATTCTGAATCCTATTGTTCTAGGACCAATCAGACTGCTGCCTTTTGGATCCTATTGTTCTAGGACCAATCAGACTGCTGCAGTTTGGATCCTATTCAACTCAGTACATAACAGAGTCCAAAAAAATACCACACAAAACCAGTAAAAAAAGTAGTATGAAAGCATGCAGAAACAAGAATTCAGGGAATTCCTACAGATAAAAACTGGCCTTATGCTCCAGAAGAGCCTGGGGGAGAAGAAGGGGTGTCTCAGCAAGATGGGTGCTGCTTCATGGTGGAAGGACGACAGCAGAAAAGCCCATTTTGGGAGTCACCGCCCTGTGACACCCTACAGGGCACAGTACTGCAAAGAGACTCTCCCCAGATGATCTAAGCCAGGGGTCAGCAACCTTTTTCAGCCGTGGGCTGGTCCATCGTCCCTCAGACCATGTGGTGGGCCAGACTATATTTTGAAAAAATATATATGAAAGAATCCCTATGCCCCACAAATAACCCAGAGATGCACTGTAAGACAGTTCTCTCATACTGTACTACGGTGTTGTACGTTGGTTTGACAGTCATTGAAAGAAAGTCCCTACAGAGGGTGGTGAAGACAGCACACGATATCATGGGCTGTCCCCTGAGTCGGCTAGATGTCATCGCAGGAGACCATTGCCTCAGAAGAGCCAGGAACATTCTCAGGGACAACTCAAACCCTGGCCAGCACCTTTTCAATCTCCTGCTCTCGGGCAGGAGATATAGAAGCATTATAAGCCACACCAACAGGTTAAAGAACAGTTTATACCTGTGGGCCGTGAGGCTGCTGAATGGAAGGCAGCAACATTGCAGCTGACATTCAGGGCTGGTGGTCATAGGACAGCACACAGTGTGTAACAAGGACTGAGAGATTGTGGGTGGGGAGGTGGGGCTCGTTTAATCTCACTGTAAACAAGTGGTACAGTGACAATAAAGTATTTCTATTTCTAAATAAAAGCACACATTCTACTCATGTAAAAACACCAGGCAGGCCCCACAAATAACCCAGAGATGCATTTTAAATAAAACACATTCTGGTCATGTAAAAACACACTGCTGGGGGCCAGACTGAGAAGGCGATTGGGCCGCATCTGGCCCACGGGCCTTAGGTTGCCTACCCATGGTCTAAGTGATTTTTCCATTGAATTTCCTAATGTTCAAATATGGCAGAGTTTCTCCAGCTCTCCTTCAGTTCAGTCCTCTGAAGGTTCGGGGCTCCCTCTGAATTTAAAGGGGGACCATGGTCTTGGGGACCCAAATGGCCTCGGGGACAAAAGAGCTGAGCTCCGGGGGCTGGGCAAGGTCCCTTCGCCCTCAAGGTGGCCCTGGCCTTCTTGGTGGGAAGTCGTGGGGGGCAACGACAGCATTACAGAAGGCACAGTGGGGCTGGAGGACCCCGGGAGCGAGGGGAGAGGCCATGCAGAGAGGAGATTTCCATGGGCAGCAGAGCTTGTGACTGACAAATGTGCAACACACGTTTCAGAAGCAACACGGCTTTGCTCTTCTTCAGCACCAGAGTGGAGCTGAGCGTCCGGTGCAGCCGCAGGCCAGTTCTCTCTGCCGCAAATGGAGGGTGTGAGTTCGTTCCTTTGGGGTGAAGGCACAGGGCTGTTGCACCCATGAGCGCTTTGCACATCCTGGTCCGGGTTAGCGGAGAGCTGGGGAACCAAACACTCAGTCCTGCTCCTTTCTGGTCCTTGCTTCGAAAGTCTGCAGATATCTTGGATCTGTTGCTGGAACCTCAGTTTGGCTGTTTGGGAGGGTGGAGAAAGAGGAGCAGAGATTTAGTAAAGAAATATTATCTCCCATACTTTCAGCTCCAAAAGATTCCAGGGCAGCAAATAATAGTTGGGTTTTTAAAATACCTATATAAATCTGGTTGCCCCAGTAAGAACAAGATGATGGTCCAGATGGGTCCCTTTTGGTCTGATCCAGCAGCTAAGTTCTCATTAGGTTTTTAAGTTCTTTGATAACATTTAAGCATCGGTAGAAAACTACCAATGGTTCAACCTCAGCTGCTCCAAAGTTAGGCTGTCTAAGAAGTCCTTGCAAGAAAATGCAACCATGGTGTGTGGTGGCCCCTTAAAGACTAATAGATTCATTTCAGCATAAACTCTCTCTCTCTCCATTAAAGCTTATGCCAGGGGTCTCCAACACAGCCCCACTCCCTGCAGTATGACATAAGGTGCTTGTGAAAGGCCTCAGTAAAGCTCCCCTCAAAGATCTGTAATAGATGTGGGACTGTTTCCTCTTCCTCCTCTGTTCTTGTTTCCATTGACTGGGCCATTCCTGCCCTGCCTCTCTTCTTCCGCTCGTTCAGATGTGGTAGCCATTTTATGTTGCACCATGCCCTCACAGTAGCCATTTTGTGACGGGCACCCATGGCAGTTTCTCAACCAGAGGCACCATCTAGGGTGGGCCGAGGGCCCCCAAAAATTCAAGGAGGGGTCCAGGCACCACCAGCCTTCCTGTGGGCATCACTGGGCCTTCTCATGGCTGCAACAGACACCATTGGGCCTCCCTTTGGCCGCAATGGGCCCCATCCACCCTCACTGCCTCCTCCCGCTGTGTGACGCCATGCACATGCACTGGCCCCCCCCCAAAAAAAGTTGGGCAGAACCCGGCACCTAAGAATGCCCACCGGTCCGAAAAGGGTTGGTGACCCTTGCTTATAGCAAACAAGCAGAAACATAAGAACCAGTAACACAAAAACAATGCTTGCAGTCTCAAATATAATAAATTAGCTATGCCACTGCAGATTAGATTACTGCATTGCACTGTACAAACCTCTTTTTGAAAACAGTTCAGGAGCTACAGCTGGTGCCAAATTCAGCAGCCAGATTATTGACTGGGAGCAGAAGGTCTGAGCGCATTGCACTAATTCTGCCTCATGCTCCTGTTGGTTCTTTTCTGGGCTCAGTTCAGAGAGCTGGTTTTCACCCACAGAGCCTTTGGCAGCTCAGGACCACAATACCTCAAGGACCGCCTCTCTCCACAGGAACCGACCTGGGTCCTGCAATTGTCATCTGAAGCCTTTTTTCTCTGCATGAGCCACCCTTCATGGGCAGCCACACAAGAACAGGGCCTTTTCTGGGTTGGCCTCCCAAGGGTGGGAGACTCTCCCCAGGGAGGCTCATCTTGACCCTTCCTTATATATCTTCAAAAAACATTCCTTTTTGGTCAGGCCTTTAGCTTTATAACTATCTATGCCTTCTTGCATGTTTTTTTTAATGTAGGTGTTTCAAAAATATATGTGCTGCTTTCAATGGATGTACAGTGCTAACTCGGGTTAAGTACTTAATTCGTTCCGGAGTTCCGTTCTTAACCTGAAACTGTTCTTAACCTGAAGCACCACTTTAGCTCATGGGGCCTCCTGCTGCCGCCGCGCCGCCACAATTTCTGTTCTCATCCTGAAGCAAAGTTCTTAACCCGAGGTACTATTTCTGGGTTAGCGGACTCTGCAACCTGAAGCATATGTAACCTGAAGCGTATGTAATCTGAGGTAGCATTGTATGTGTTTTTTGCTTAATATACTGTAAGTCACTTTGAGTTGCTGTGGCAAAAAAGTGATTAATACCTCTTCTTAAATAATGTGGAAGGGAAAAAGAGGAGTCTATCAAAGTGGGTTTTGTCTACACTACCCAGGGAATCTTTCCCAGTCCTACCTGGTGATGCCGGGGACTGAGCCTGGCACCTTCTGCATGCCAAGCAGGTGCTCTAACACCTTACAGCAGGCCAAAGGCCTACCGAGTCCAGCAGCATCCTCTTCTCACAGTGGACAACCAGGTGACTATCATCATCATCATCATCATCACCATCATCCCTCCTACCTTTCATTAAGGCTTCATTCTTCTGCTTCAGAGCTTGGATCTCAGAGGCCATGGAGGTGATCTGGAAGGGAGAAATGAATTATAAGGGGGGCGGGCTGCCACATCGGCACCATACATCATGTTTAGCAGTCGTGGCATCCCCCAAATAATTCCTGGGGAACTTCTTTTTATGTGACCTGAACCTTCCAAACGCCGGCTTCATCAGATCGGGAAGGTGGACTTGTCAAGTGGCCTCTCTGAATGGGTAGCAGGAGCAGGGCCGGCCCGTCCACTTGGTGGACTGAGGCAGCTGCTCTGCGGTGAGCAGAGGTAAGGAGAAATCTCTCAAGAGCCCTGTGGGATCACACAGAGGCCTTGAGAGATCTCACCGGGAACTGGAGGCCACAGCCTCAGGACCCTGGGAAGCAAGGCTTTAGCGCAGGCAGCAGTGGGGGGCAGGTGTTGCACAAGGTGTGTGCCCAGGGCAACACCTGCCTGTTTTGCCTCAGGTGGTGAGGCAGGCTGGTCTGCCCCTGAGTGAGCAGGAGGAACCCCTGGCATTTTCCTGCCACCCCCTGCCACCCCCATCAGTAGTCTTCCTTACTATTTCCGTTTTCTCTCTCAGCTGCTGCTGTAGACTCTGGGCTTCTTCACTGGTTCCAGGAACACCCTGACCTTCCTCAGGAAGCCTGATGGGTTTGGCTACAGTCTGCAGGAAGCACAAAGAAGAGGCTATAGAAATCCTTGAAATTCCAGAGGGCACCATGCCCTGAAACCCGACCACAGACATCATGCACCCAGAGCGGTGTAGGAACCACACACTAGGCTCTGTGCTCGGGGTTGGGTTCCCCCTTCCAGCCAGCCTACTCTGTTTCCCATTGCGATGGTGGCAGAAGCATTAAGGTTTGGTGGGCTGGGCACACAGAGGGCATCCAAGGGTTGCAAGCTGTCCGCAAGGCTTAGGTTGCCCATGTTGGGAAACTGTGTACGTGCAGCTACTCACACAGAGTCAATTAAGGTTTGGCAGACAGCCAGAAGGCAATCTGAAGGAGTAAGTCTGCCTGGTGATAACAGAGACATGGAGACAGCTCCCTGATTGGTCAAGCTCTCTCAAAGGAGTGATAATTATGTAATGGCCTACTAATTGGAATGTATTAGTTCAGAGGTTCAGAGTTCTGTGTATCAGTGTAGAAGTTGTGAGTCGTATCAGAGAGAGCTAGCAAAAGATCCGTGTTCTGTTCCTGTAAATAGTCCACTGTATATAATAAACACCTAACTACAAGTTCCTGGCTCCTGCTTCGTCTATCCTGTCTGCAGCCAAGTTGCCAATTGCTTCCATGGATTCTGCGTTTACTCTGCTAGGTCTGGCTAAGGTCCTGCAACTAGTCAGAAAGTTGTGAAACACCAATAGGTTTTGCCAATAGTCCACACCTGCCTTCAACACTTAAGGGTTTCCCCTGGAAAGGCACATTTGGATGGAGGGTCCTTCTGTATCTTCTCCACTGCTCTAAAAATAGTGGGGCAGAGGGAGTGATGTAATGATGCTTCCATTGCCCTTAAAGAATAAGTGCCCCCCCACACAGTGCTAGGGCAAGTCATTTCTGTCAGGAGTTCAGCCTACACTCGAGTAGGACCCTGGCAGAGACACATGCCCGACTGGCATGTTCTCTCCTTCCTGGTCTTTCGTTCAGGAGCTTCAAAAGCTTTCTTCAGCCCGAACATCACAGTGACCAATGCCAACTGACACCGGCACACTTAGGGATCCGCAGAGTCTTCGCAGCTCATGCGTGACAGACCTCAGCAACTTAGCATTTTGGCTAATCTACTTTATTTACATATAAACACACACGGAGCACTGCAACATGGCTCCCTCTCTCTCTAGCATCAGACAACAAAGAGGTAAAGAACAAAGGACAATAGTCCCACTCCATGGAACACAGTAACACAAACATCCTGTCTCCATCACTTCCCACTCTGTGGAGTCAAACATATACCGTTATGTGATAGACAACAATCCCATGACTGCAATCATGGAGCAGGAATTCTAACATCTTCCCCCCAAATAAAAGGGTTTTCAGGGTTTGGGCACATTGTTGAACCACAGAAAGCCAATTCCTTTTCTGATGCTCATTGTGTTACAGCTGGGATGGGAACATCAGAAGCAGCGGGCTGGATTAGGCCAAGGGCTCATTCAGTCCAGCATCCTGTTCTCATGGTGGCCAACCAGATACTCCCAGTGGGGAGCACACAAGCACAAGAGCAGTCCTCTTTCCTCCTGCAGTTTCCAGCAACTGGCATTCAGAAGCATTGCTCCCTCTGATTGTGAAGGCAGAGTAGAGACATCCTGGCCAGGAACCATGACCAGGAACCAGGAGCCTTCTCCTCCTCCATGAATTTGTCCAAACCTTTTCTAAAGCCATCCCTGCCTCCTGCAGGAGCGAGTTCCACAGTTTAACTCTGCACTGCGTGAAGACGGCCTTGCTTTTCTCTGTTCTGAATCTTCCTATCTTCCAGCAGGCCTCTCCTTAGGTTCTTATGTAATGTCTGGAGGACACCATATAGGGCTGCTTCCAACCTCATCTCTTTCTTTCTCCCCACCCTTCCTCTGACAAATGTGGGGAATTTTGGGACTCCTGTCACTCTCAACACCCAACTGCAGTGTTACTCCACAAGAAACCCACCAGGCAGGCAGGGAGGGAAGACTTCTTACCAGCATCCTTTGCGACTTCAGAGGCGCCACTGAGCTTTCTTCCTTTGGCCCTCCGGGATGCTTCTTGTGTCCTGCCTGCTGCTGCCTGAAAAGCTCCTTCAGCTGTCAGAAGGGCAGAAAACAGATGCAAGGTTAAGCTTAGACAGCAGGGATTCCCAAAAGCAGCTATGAAAAATTTGGTAATCTGGGTTAGATGCAATATTTGAGCTGTGCCATGGTATATTCCAAGTTTCCTGGGAACAGCTGGGGAAGCATCACAGAGCAACACATAAAGCAGAATGCTGCGTGGACGGTGCGGTATAAACCCACTTCTGATGCACCATCAATAACATGTTGCAGAATACTCCCACCCACCCAAAAACAGGAGAGCCCCCTAAACAGTAACATTGCTAATTTGCATTACATATTTTGGGTGCTTCTGGGCTGTTTTGCAGGAGCGAATTAAGCTCATGCTAAAACTGAGAGCCCTTGTGGCATAGTGGTGAGTGTGTCAGGCTAGGGTTCAAATCCTGTCTCAGCCAGGAAGCTCACTGGGTGTGACCTTGGGCCAGCCACCCACTCTCAGCCTAACCAGCCTCACAGGGCTGCAGTGGGGCTTAAATGAGGAGGTGGGCACAGCCACATACGCCACCCTGAGCTCCTTGGAAGAAAGATGAATATAAACATAATAAATGAATCAACTTTATGTATGTAATTTTAAAGCTGATTAAAAGTGTTCTGCTGCCCCTAGTACAACAAATTCACTTTGTGAAGAAGAAAAAACAGCAGCAACAACACAGACTTCTTTGTGGTTTGGAAAGTGACAGTGGAAACACATTGAAAAGTGTGGGGTGAACAGATTATGAACAGGAACGTGTGTAATAAATGCCCCACAAGCAGCTCTGGACACAGGCTCATTTTCACATAACTGCCACACAAAGAAATCAGAATGAATGCTCAGTAAAGACCAGGCAGAGTCTAGCTGCCTTGTACCCTTTTTGCAAACAAATCAGGATTGGTGCTACATAATCTGTATTTCTGGAGGAGCCCCCAGGTCAGTCACATGGAGAGGATTCCTTTTGTTGGTGCAGGAACAAAGTTTCCTCTGATGAGAAGTTTAACCTGCCAGGGGCATTCCTGGCGCCTGTGCAATGTCACGTCACCCGGCCCCATGCCAGCTCAAACATTCATTTTGCTGCATGCACTTAAGCCAATGCAGCGGAGGGTAGAATTTCACACCACCTTGACAGTTGGATGCCTAACCTTTATGGTGCTGTGCTGCAGCTGGGTAATTTTGGACTCTGGCCTTTGAGGCCTGACGCCCCTTTTAAATCTGTTCCTGTGCCTTGCTTGCCCTGCTGTGCTTGGTTGAGCAACACTGGAAGGTGTTTGAGTCAGACCATGGGTCCATCTAGCTTGTATTTTAATGTATTTTTAATCATTTGTTGGAAGCCGCCCAGAGTGGCAATATTATTATTATTATTATTATTATTATTATTATTATTATTATTATTATTATAAAAGCAGCAATGCAAGAGCGAGCTGCAGCTGGCTGGAAAGCCAAACAGGATGTTGATGTTTGGGACTGTACCGTGGGAACAAAGGGACAGTCTATTCACTGTGCTGAGCGCCGGATGTTAGCTCAGAGTGTCATCTGACCTGTACTGGAAGTACAGGGGCGGAGTCTATCACTCTTCTGTTCGGAGACTGGAGAGTGCAGACGTGTTTCTCTGTACTGCTGCAATGACAGAAATAAAGACATGTAAATAGATTTCTGTCTGTCTCTTTCCCCTCCCTGAGGAGGGAGAAATGGTGTGTCCCTCTCACGCTGAGTGGGATCGCTGATCGTGACCTTGCCTGTATCCTGCCGGGAGACGCAGACGGGGAGGTCAACAAGGATCTTAAGCCTGGTGCCTGGAGAGTGGCCAGTTACCTCTGACTGAGGCTGAGAATTCCGACTATTATTATTATTATTATTAGTATTATTATTTACACAGGCTGGCAGAGGCTCTCCAGGGTTTCAGGCAAAGAGTCTCTCCCAACTCTGCCAGGAGGTAGCAGAGGGAAATAAGTTCGGCACCTTCTACTAGCCAGGCAGACCCTTTTGCCCCTGAGCTATGGCCCTTCCCCAAGTCTGTTGGTTTGTTTGATTGCTTATACAAGCACTGATTTAGTGCCTTCTCTTAAAATGCCAGCAATACTGTATAAACACCCACCCACACACCCACCCATTAAAAGCAGTGCAACACAATAATTGAAATGTCTGGCTACTCAAGGACATTTTAAACACAGACACAGGCTTGTCAGCAGAAGGAAGTCTTCAAGAGACGCCTGGAAGTCAAAAGGGAGAATGCCTGCTGAATTTGTCGGAAGAGTGCTCCACAGCATCACGGGGCCACGGATGCTGGCCTTGTGCTTTCACTCTGGTTTCCCGTGCACTCACTGCGTTTCCAGTGCTGGGTTTCTTTTATCAGGCCAGTGGTCCATCTAGTCCAGCAAAAGAGCCTTCTCCCCTCCTGAGGCTTTCAGCAACTGGTATTCAGAAGCATCTCTGCCTCTGACCGCGGAGGCAGAGTGTGGCCATTGTAGATAATAGCCATCAGTAGCTCTCTCCTCCTCCATAAATTTTTCTAAACCGCTGTTAAAGCCATCCAAGTTGGTGGCCATTGCTGCCTCCTGTGGGAGGGAGTTCCGCAGTCCAACAATGTTGCATAGTGTACATAAACATAAATGAATTGAAGCAGGGGCAGCAGCGTAGCGTGGGTTGTCAGCACCCGGGGCAAGGCAAGTAATTTGCGCCCCCTAACCCCTAACCTGCCGCCGCTGCCAGCTTCTTCTTGCTGCTGCCTGGGCTGGTCTGGTGTGGTTCTCTCCCGCGCTCAGCGCTGCGCTGGGCGGCCGCTGCACTGTCCCTCCCCCAGATAGTCCCTCGCTCTCTCTCCGCACTGCACTCCTGGCACCTACCCCCTCCCCAGTGGGCGGCAACCCAGCGGCTTGGATCGGATTCGCACAGCCAGCACTGCAGTGAGAGAGAGTGAGTGAGCCAGGTAGGGGCAGAGAGCTGCGAGTGCGAGCGCCCCCCCCCCAGATGTTGCGCCCGGTGCGGCCGGCCCCCCCTGCACCCCCCACGCTACGCCACTGAGCAGGGGGTTGAGGAAGAGCTGTGAAATGCACGGGGGGGACAGGGGACAATGACCCGACTTCACTGCTCTAAACGGATAACTAACAGCCCTGCTCCAGATGGAGACCAGATGGAGACCAGGAGGTCCTGGTTTTGATCCTTGGCATCCCCACACGGGGCTAGGAAGCGCCTCCTCCCGCCTCAAAGTCAAGAGAGCCGCTGTCGCTCAGCGTGGCCAATCCTGGGCCAGATGAACCAAAAGTGTGATTCGCTATCAGGGCAGCTTTCTAGCAAGCTTTCCCAACCTGGTGCCTTCGACACACTTTGAACTTTGACGCCCATCGGTTAGAGGTTGTCAGGCAGGCAAAGGCTGCTCTGGGTTCCAAAATGAAAGCAAGTGTCGTTCAAAACCATATATTTAGCTGAGGGTTGGGCTAGATGACCCTTGGGGTCCCTTGCAGCTCTACAATTCTATGACCCTATGGATATATGATGTATGGAAGTGAGAGCTGGACCACAAAGAAGGCTGATCGCCAAAGAATTGATGCTTTTGAATTATGGTGCTGGAGGAGACTCTTGAAAGTCCCATGGACTGCAAGAAGATCAAACCTCTCTATTCTGAAGGAAATCAGCCCTGAGTGCTCACTGGAAGGACAGATCCTGAAGCTGAGGCTCCAAGACTTTGGCCACCTCATCAGAAGAGAAGACTCCCTGGAATGACCCTGATGTTGGGAAAGATGGAGGGCACAAGGAGAAGGGGACGACAGAGGACGAGATGGTTGGACAGTGTTCTCGAAGCTACCAGCATGAGTTTGACCAAACTGCGGGAGGCAGTGGAAGACAGGAGTGCCTGGCGTGCTCTGGTCCATGGGGTCATGAAGAGTCGGACACAACTAGTTCAAATATATGTTGGAAGTGTAAGGAAAAGGAGGGGACATTTTATCATATGTGGTGGGATTGTAAGGTAATCAAAAAAATTTGGGAAATGATATACAACAAATTGAAGAAAATGTTCCATTTAACATTTGATAAAAAACCCGAGGCATTTTTGTTGGGGATTGTAGGGAAAGACCTGCCAAAAAAGTTGAAAAACATCTTCATGTATGCAACAACGGCCGCGAGAGTTCTGGTAGCACAAGGATGGAAGACTGAAGAAACCCCAACTAAAGAATCATGGCAAGAAAAATTGCTGGACTATGCAGAACTGGCAAAACTGACATAAGCTACGGGACAAAGATAACTGTGACTTTAAGGATGAATGGGAACCCTTTACAAAGTATCTGAAGACGCAACAAAGCCAACTGGACTCCTTGGCTGGTTTTGAATAAACATTCACAAACTTTTTATTGATAATAATCAGCTAAATCGCTTGAGGATCTGTACAACTTTGCAACATGCAGAAAACAGCATTCTTAGAGAAACCAAAGACTGGAACTGAGGAAAGTCGGGGGGTGGGGTGGGGTGGGGGTTTTGTGTGGGAGGGGGGGAGGGAGGAAAAATAGGGGGGGGGACAAGGATGATATGTTTTTGGATAATATGCCTTGTTACAATTTTGAATAAATAAATAAATAAATAAATTTTAAAAAAAAGTCGGACATGACTAAACGACTAAACAAAACAATGAATATAGCACCAAGTGGACTCATGCGCATACTTCCAAGCAGGAAGTGGTGGGCAGATGAGTCAACAGAGGCTCTTGTGTGTACACCCACAAACACACACCTTGTGAACGCTCCCAGGATGACATTTCCTTCCTCCTTGGCTGTGGCCTGCTGTCTCCAAAGAGCCGTGAAGAACATGGTGAGTCAGGGAGGAAGAGGCAAAGGTGAGGAGGGGCGATGACAGAGGTAATGTTGCCGCCTACCTGCTCGGTCACCAGCTGTTGCTGCCGCCTCAGGCTCTCCTGCTCTCCCCGGGGGCTCCTGGTGACTTTCGCTTCCGAGTCCTGACTTTGTTCCTGGGGGAGGAAAAGGACCTGTGTGGGCAGAGAGGCCGGAGGATGGCAGGGCCCTGTTCTGGTTCCTGTCTCTTTCACGGATCTCTGCTTATGGAAGTGGGAGGTGAAGCCTCGGGGTTTTCGGCAACCCAGCTGGGTGCTGTGCCAGCCGCAGCAACCCTCCCAAGCCTGCCCTGCCATGCCCTGCACCTGCCTTCCCAATGCCCTCAAGGACAACCTGGGGGGGGGCCCACACAGGCTTAGAAGGGAGGCTAAAGGTGAGGGAAGAGACACAGCTCAGCGGCAGGGGGTCTGCTTTGCAAGCAGAAGGTCCCAGTTTCTGTCCCCGCAGGTATCTCCTGGTGGGACTGCGAGAGACCCCTTCCTGAAGGCGAGGAAGACGCCACATGGCAGAGACATAGCTATCAACCTTCCTTTTTTTGCGGGAAATTCCCTTATTCCAGCGACGTTTCCTGCTGCTTCCTGCTGCTATCCCAGATAGTTAGATATCCCGTAGACTGTCCCCGGGACAGGTGAGGCTGCTGATCCCTTATTTTTGAGGCTGCTGATCCCTTATTTTCAAATCTGAAAGTTGACAGCTATGGACAGAGGTTCCTAGGGACTACTGCAATGCGCTCTATGTGGGGCTACCTTTGAAGGGGACCTGAAAACTACAACTAATCCAGAATGCGGCAGCTAGACTGGTGACTGGGAGCAGCCGCCGAGACCACATAACACCGGTCTTGAAAGACCTACACTGGCTCCCAGTACATTTCCGAGCACAATTCAAAGTGTTGGTGCTGAACTTTAAAGCCCTAAACGGCCTCGATCCTGTATACCTGAAGGAGCGTCTCAACCTCCATTGTTCTGCCCGGACACTGAGGTCCAGCACCAAGGGCCTTCTGGCGGTTCCCTCACTGCAAGAAGCAAAGCTACAGGGAACCAAGCAGGGGGCCTTCTCGGTGGTGGCGCCCGCCCTGTGGAACGCCCTCCCATCAGATGTCAAAGAGATAAACAACTACCTGACATTTAGAAGACATCGTAAGGCAGCCCTGTTCAGGGAAGTTTTTAATGTGTGACATCTTAGTGTATTTTTGGTCTTTGTGGAAGCCGCCCAGAGTGGCTGGGGAAACCCAGCCAGATGGGCGGGGTACAAATAATAAATTATTATTAATTATTATTATTATGCATGGCATGGAGAGAGTGGACAGAGGAAAGTTTCCCTCCCTCTCTCATAATACTGGAACTCATGAGGATCCAATGAAGCTGAATGTTGGAAGATTCAAGATGGATTAGGGGGGCAGCATTTCTTCACATGGCACACAGATAAACTATGGAACTCCCTGACACATGAGGCATTGGTGGCCGCCAGCTTGGCTGTAAAGGAGGACTGGAGAAATAATAATAATAATAATAATAATAATAATAATAATAATAATAATAATAATATATTTATTGTCATTGATGGAGGAGAGGGCTACTGACGACTCCTAGCAAAACATGGCACTCCTTGCCCCCTTAACAGTTTGCTGCAGGCTGGCCTAAAGGATTTCTGCAGTTCTATGACTTAAAAGCAAGGGAAGCTTTTCCTTGGTCACATCCATGCCATACATGGAAAGCACACGGCTCCTCAAAAAATCCTGGAAACGGTATTTGTTTAGGGTGCTGGAAACTATAGGAGCGTCTCTACCACCATTGTTCGGCCCGGACACTGAGGTCCAGCTCCGAGGGCCTTCTGGCGGTTCCCTCACTGCGAGAAGCCAAGTTACAGGGAACCAGGCAGAGGGCCTTCTCGGTGGTGGCGCCTGCCCTGTGGAATGCCCTCCCCTCAGATGTCAAAGAGATAAACAACTACCAGACTTATAGAAGACATCTGAAGGCAGCCCTGTTTAGGGAAGCTTTTAATGTATGATGCACTACAGTATTTTAATATTTTGTTGGAAGCTGCCCAGAGTGGCTGGGGAAACCCAGCCAGATGGGCGGGGTATAAATAAATTATTATTATTATTATTATTATTATTATTATTATTATTATTATTATTCTGTGGTGGGAAAACTACAGCTCCAAGGGCTCTGTGGGGGAAGGTGTCTGCTTGAAGGCATGGTCTGGCTGTGGCCCAGAGAACGGAAAAGCTTCACCTATTCTGATTTCAACAAGACAGTCTATGGCTAAAGGCGCTCGCAAAGCGACAGGGAAGCCTTTAGGGCCAGAGGGCTGCCTTCCCATGGGGCAACCTCCCGGGGACCACATGCCAGTGGTGGGCGGGGCCTGAAGCAAAAGTGGGTGGAGCAACAGATGCAAATTATTCCAGCTGGCACACTCAAGCACAAGGCAGGGTCAGAGCTCCAGGACATATTTCCAGCCAGACAAAAACACTTCAGGACAGGGCGGTCCAATACGTGGCCTGGGGGCAGCATGCTTTTGGGGTGGCCCTTGGCAACATGTGACGCCTCCCCCAGCCCCCAATGCTACCTTCCCAAACCTGGTAAGGAGGCGCTGGGCTTTGGGAAAGAGGTGTGATGTCTCTGGCAGAGAAAGAGCCTGCAGGTTCCGTGTCAAAGCCTTCTTGAGGCCCACTTGGTATGAAAAGCTGGGCCTCCCTGCTCTAAGAGGCTGTGAAGTAGGGCCAGGGAGAGGCCTGGCTTGCAGAGGGTCCTGGTGGCTAGATGGCAAGCCCCCTGGAAGTCTCCCTGCACAGAGGCAGATTCAGGAGAGCGCTACCTGTTCTGTTGTACTGGGTGCCAAACCTCGGGGGGGGGGTTGCAATTGAGATTTTGCATGGAGCGCAAGAGTTGGGGGGGTGCTGGCAGATGAAGATGATGGACTTTTCAGAAATGGCTGACCTGACTGGAAGAATCTGCGACCAGAAAGAAGAGGAAACACAAGAAGATTGGAAGAAATTTAAAGAATGTTTAGTGAGATATTGTAATATAAGATAAATTAAGAAACTCCTAGAAGCAACAGATTAGGCTAAGGGATAGAAAAAGAATAATGACTATTATGGATTACAATTGGAAGTAAGGATAAGAAGTTTGTAATGAAAGAGGATATTGATGTTACAAATATGAAATTAAAGGTAAAGGTAAAGGTACCCCTGCCCGTACGGGCCAGTCGTGTCCGACTCTAGGGTTGTGCGCTCATCTCACTCTAGAGGCCGGGAGCCAGCGCTGTCCGCAGACACTTCCGGGTCACATGGCCAGCGTGACAAAGCTGCTCTGGCAAGCCAGCACCAGCGCAGCACACGGAATGCCGTTTACCTTCCCGCTAGTAAGCGGTTCCTATTTATCTACTTGCACCCGCGAGTGCTTTCGAACTGCTAGGTTGGCAGGCGCTGGGACCGAACAACGGGAGCGCACCCCGCTGCGGGGATTCGAACCGCTGACCTTTCGATCGGCAAGCCCTAGGCGCTGAGGCTTTTACCCACAGCGCCACCCGCGTCCCTTCAAAAATATGAAATTGGGAACTGCTAAATATGTCTTATGATGAAATTCAGATTGGAAGGTGTCGAGGAAGTCTTCTGGCAATGTAAATATACCAGGGTATAAGAAGAAAAATTCTTCTTTTATCTTTTGCGTTTTTATTGTTGTTAAGTTTTTATGTTGTATTAAATGTAATGTTCTTTTCTGTGTTTATGTTTGTGTATTATAAGAGAAAACCAATAAATTGGGGGGGGGAGAGAGTTGGGGGGTGCCAAATTTTGGAGTTGCACAGGGCACTGCTGACCCCCAAGGTCCACCACTGCCCTGGAGTTCCCCACCCCTGCAGTAGCAAAAGGGAAGAAAAAGACAATAGCCTTAGCAGAGTGTCGTCTCCCCAGCGGCCCCACACCTTGGCAGAGAGGCCCGGGGCACTCATGTTCTGCAGCTCCTCCTCCTTGGTCTTCGAGGCTGCCGTCCGCTGCCCTTGTCGACCTCTCCTGTCCAGGGGGATGTGCCCAATCTGGCTACCCACCTCCTCCTGCTTGGCTTGTAGAGCTGCTTCTAGCTCCAGGGTACGAGCCTGCAGCAGGTCCTTCTCTCTCTGTACTAGCCTCCAGGATTCCCTGTAAGAACCAGAGGGGACAAGGCAGGCGCTCGCTTGCTTTCTGACCTCGTGGTTACAGGGGTTACTTCAAGCCCCATGTGGGGCTTCCCTTGCTCTTGGTCCACTGTAGTCAGTGCAGGATGCTGAAGGGTTACGGCTGACAGAGGGGAGGCCTGGTCAGCATATTGCCCCTGTGCTCAGAGATCTGCACTGCCTGCCAATTTGCTACCAGACCAAGTTCAAGGTGTTACGATTAGTATATACCGTATTTTTCACTCTATAAGACGCACTTTTCCCCCTCCAAAAATTAAGGGGAAATGTATGTGCGTCTTATGGAGCGAATGCAGGCTCCATGGCTTCAACGAAAGCAACGCTACACTCTGGAGGCTTCGCGTTGTTTTCACTGAAGCCTGGAGAGCGAGAGGGGTTAGTGCGCACCAATCCCTCTTGCTCTCCTGGCTTCACTTCGCTGGAGAGAAGCTGCACAGCTTTCCCTCTCTGCGCAGCGCCCCTTCAGCGAAGCGGGAGGAGACATGGAAGGGGCTCCGTTTCTCCTGCCGCTTCGCTGAAGGGGCATTGCGCAGAGAGGGAGAGAATTTTTTTTCTTGTTCTCCCCCTCTAAAACTAGTGCATCTTATGGTCGGGTGCGTCCTACAGAGCGAAAAATACGGTAAGTCCTGAACAACTTGAGATATCATTTCCCCATATCCCCAAATATAGCCCCCCTGCATCAGACTGCTTCAATTGCTGGAACTGGCGTTTTTACACCTGCCGCGTAATACCCATTCTACAATTGTAAGAACACTATCGTTGGAACTCCCTGCCTATTGATATCAGGCAGGCACCCTCACTGTACTCTTTCCAGCACCTGCTAAAAATATTGTTGCTTAGGCAGATGTTTAGAAAGTTGATGAAAGTTTCAATCCGTTTTTAGTCAATTGCTGAGTTTATCTTTTGAATGATTTTAAGAGTTGTTTTTAACAGGTAATTTTATCATTTTATTCTCTTTGTAAACTGCTTTGAGGTTTTATTTTCACAATTGTGCTGTGTATAACACTTTAATAAATAAACAACTAATAACCAAATAGCAGCTACAAACCTCGCCTTGGCTGTTAAGCTCACTTCATGACCTTGAATCATTCTCTCAGTCTAAGCTACTTTGAACTGAACTCAATTTCTGCCCCATCCCTGCCTCTAGGCAGCAGAGAACAAGACTTTGCCCTCTTGTGACAGAGGGATGTACAAAAAAAACACACTCCCCGAAAAGCAGAATATCAGGCTGCAGGATCTCTGCCATTTCCTAATGTTTACTACTGTAGCAGGTCAACATATTGCTGTATACCAGAGCTTTCCAAACTGTGTGTCACGATATGTGATTGTGTTGGCTGCAGTGTGCAAGTAAGTGTGTCGCATGACTGCTCCTCGAACTCCTCCCAGAACTGGAAAGGGGGTAGTTTAACCTCCAGTTTGCTAATAAAACTGAATTACCACGTCTCAAAATGATGCATGTCTGAAAAGTGTGCCCCCAACAGGGAAAGTTTGGAAAGCTCTGCTGTATATACTGATAGGGGAACTAGATTCTAAGAGAATATGCTTCCACAGACTGTATTAAGAATGTGTCAAGGACGTTTGTGCAGGGAAAACTCAGCCTTGAGCCAAACTGATGGAAAGTAGACACCAAATTCTTCTTGCTAATTCAGGCATCCATATCTGCTAATACAGGCACACTTTTCCTCTGCAACGTGACTTAATTCCTGTGCACAAGCAAAGCTAAGGGGAGTGAATGCCTCTCTGGAAGTCTGTGTGGCTAACAGTCCTTTGGACTCCACTCCTGGAGGGTTCCCAACAGCTGCAGTTGCTTTGACCAAATAAAAGCCATATTAAGGACTTCCGGAGGCGGCGCGAAATCATAATGGCGGTCCTCTTCATCCTCTGAAGAGGGGCTCCGCGGAAAAGGGTTGCACGCTGCGGCATAGTGGCGACCCATTAAGATAAACCACGGGTAGAGTGAGCCCGTGGCCGTGGGACTCGGCGGGCACCAGGAGCAACCCCGAATACACAGAAGGAACCCCGTAAGGGGCTCCGGAGTGTGGAAGGAGTTGCGGTGCTGTGAGTTCATCGCTCTTTCCGCGGAAGCGAAGCCGCGCGGCTGTTACGGATGAGCGCCGACCTTTCTTCCTGAAATCAGGCTGCAAGCAACATACCCGTGAGTAAGGGGCATTAATTTGGAAACTAAATTTTTGAATTCGGCTGAAAACGGGAGATTAAAAGTAAAAGGAAGTCCGTCTCCCGACATTGCTAGCAAGATCAAAGCAAAGACTCCGAGAAGCGGGAAGCGCTTTGAAAGAGAGCTGTCAAAGTTGGAGCTTTCATGTATTTATGGACTTGGTTGTTAAAAGGAAAGAATAGATCTTTTTTAAGTTAAAGGGACTTTGAATTTGAGCTATCCTCTTGCTTTTGGATTACTTAAGATAAAGAGCCAGATCGTCGGGCTGCCAGACAGGAGAGAACTGTCAAACTGCGGAAACTGTTACTGCTTAACTGTTACTTTTGAGCACAAATAGACTGGATTTGACACTGTTGCAGGCACTTTTATTGAAACCTTGTTAAATATAAAAAGAGCTCTGGGGAACCTCTCTTTTGCTCCGGACTATAGAGCTTTTGGACTAGGATTAAAGGGACTTTAATGGCGGAAAATTTCCTTCTTTGTCTTGAATTCTGGTGGCACTCCCCCTAGAGGACTTTGGAATTATAAAAGCCTGGGAACTGCTTTTTATTTTGACTTTCTCTCTACTGATTGTCCACAAACTGGATCTGCCTTTCCCATGGGACAATAGTTAAGTTGACCTTGAACATTGACAGATGTGGAATGAGTGGTACAGGAAAAACAAGAGCCGCCAAAGCTAAGGAAGCCAAGGAAAAAGAAAAGGAAAAAAAGTCTGGACAATTGGTACAAACAACTTTGATCCAAGGACGCAGATCATCGGTCCCACTGATAGCACAGAAGGCGGAAACAGAAAAGTTTGTAGAGGAAGATATGGCAGCAGGAGGCTCTGAAGCAGTTTTAAAACAAATCTTGGAACAACTGTCAACCTTAAACCAAAAGGTTGATGACCAATCATTAAAAACTGACCAATCTATATCCTTGATCCAGAAACTGACCGACCAGGTTTCCCAGCATACACAAGCAATTGAAAACCTACAAGGAGCAACGGCCGAAAACCGTAAACTAGCTGTGGAAGCCTCTCAAAAAGCAGAGCAAGCGAATAAAGGGGTCGAGGAGATTAAGGGAGAGAAGTCAAACCCCTGCGTAAACAGATTGGCGAACAACAAGCCTACCTGTCAATGGTGGAATTGAAAAATCGTGAGAATAACCTCAGATTGAGAGCTATTCCAGAACTTGAACAAGGAGATTTGATCGGCTACCTGACAACAGAATTTTCCAAGTTCTGGGGTATAAAAGAAGATAACGACTTTAAAATTGTTTCGGCATTCAGACTGGGAAGAGTGGTAAGGAAGGACAGATCCAGAGACTGTTTGATAATTTTGAGATCGAGGGAAGAGAGAGATAAGATACTAGGCCTTCATTTCAAAAATTCACTTGAAATACAAGATAAAAAGGCGGAAATTTACAGAGATATACCTAAACAATTATTGTACCTTAGAGCAGCCTATACAGAACTGGCAAAACTTTTGAGACACAACGGAATTCCTTATAGGTGGGAATTCCCACAAGGACTATCTTTTACATACAAAGAAAAGAAGGTTAAAATCAAATCGACAGAAGATCAGCAAAAGTTCCTACACGACCACGGAGAAGACCTCCAAAAAGGAGCAGCAGCAGCTTGGCCACTACCGGGCCCAACACCTGGAGCTGGACCATTGCCCATACCCTCGGGAGCAGAGGAAAAGGAGAAGACCCCATAATAGGATCAACATATTAGTACAGGATGTCTCTGCAGCTACTAAGTTGGAATATAAACGGTGGAAATTCCCCGGAAAAAAGAAGGAAAATATTTCACATCTTGAAAAAAGAACATTTGGACATTATCTGTTTGCAAGAAACTCATGTGACCAGGCTCCACAGGAAAGTGCTAATTAACAAAAGATTAGGCCAGGAATTTATCTCATCTGACAGAGTCAAGAAAAGAGGAGTGGTAATTTATGCAAAGGAGAGCCTGTCACCGAAATTTTTATTTAAAGATGAACAAGGAAGAATTTTGGCGATTGAAATTCGGACACAGGGAGAAAAATTCCTGATATTAGGAATATATGCACCCAACGATGGGAAATCGGAATTTTTTAAGAAGCTGCATGAGATTATGCTGGACTATTTGGACTATTCCAACATCATTATGATGGGAGATATGAATGGGGTGGTATCCACAAACATGGATAAGTCACAAAACCAAAATCTGACAAAAGACGGCAGACTGCCTAGAACTTTCTTTGAACTAACTGACAATATGGACCTGATTGACATATGGAGGACAAAGAACCCCTTAGGTAAAGAAGGAACTTTCTTCTCTGAGGCTCATTTGTCATGGACACGAATCGACCAAATTTGGACAACTAGAGGGCTGGCACCTAAGACTAGAAAAGTGGAAATCTGCCCAAAAACCTGCTCCGACCATAACGCCTTGAAAGTGGAATTGAGACTTACTCCAACCGGTTCCTTCAGATGGAAAATGAATGACGCCTTATTAAGAGATCAGGAGGTGGTGAAGAAGGCCCAAAAACTTTAAGAGACTATTTTGAAATAAATTTGAATACAACGGTGGAAAAAAGAACGATCTGGGACGCAAGCAAAGCAGTTATGAGAGGGTTTCTGATACAACAAAATACGATTAAGAAAAGACTCTGGAATGGAAAAAAGGAGAAGATCTTGGAGAAAATAAGAGAAGGAGAGAAAAAATTGAGAACTAATCCAAAATCGAAGGAGGTGCTGAGAGAAATCAAATTCCATCAAGCACAATATTCGAAATTGATAAATCAAGAGGTTGAATGGAAAATTAAACA